AGCACTGTTTATGGGCCCAGGACCACTGCAAACTCATGGCTCAGCACCTTGTTGGGCACAGGGAGAGACACATAACCATGGCTTCTGGGCCTCTAGGAAGGAGAGTTATGGGAAGATGGCCCTATCTTACCCTTTCCAGCACCCCTGGTTCTCTCCAAAGAGATCAGGCTTGGCCCTCTACCCAGGCCAGCGTCATGCGGCATGTGATTTGTCCAGCCACACAAAACCCACACTTGCTCTCAGGGCTCTGCTTTTGGTGCTTTGAAATTCCTTTTCCTTTTTTCAAACACAAAATGTACTGAGACAAGGTCTTGCTCTGCATAGCTCAGACTGGCCTCAAACTCTTTATCTTCCTGCCTCAGCCTTCCAAATATTGGGATTATAGGCTTACAATCACCATGCCTGGCTGGAAATTCTTGATTTAAAGGGGCTGAGGAAATGGCTCAGTCAGGGGCTGGAGAGATGGCTCAGAGGTTAAGAACATTGGCTGTTCTTGCAGAAGGACAAGAATCCCAGCACCCACATGGCAGCTAACAACTGTCCATAACTGCAGTCCCAGGGGATCCGACAGCCTCTTCTGACCTCTGTGGGCATTGCACTTATCTACATGCAGGGAATACTTATACATACACATAAAATAAAAAAAAATAAAATAAAATAAAAAGAGATGGCTCGGTCAGTAAAGTGTTTTCCATACAAGCATGAGGACTGTAGTCTGATCCCCAGATCCCATTTTAAAAAGCCCAGCATGGTGATGTGTGCTTGCCATCCCAGCATGGCAGCCTGGGGAGGGGGAATCAGGAGGATACCTGGGGCTTGCTGGCCACATTTGATGTCATCCTCTGGCCTACACACACACACACACACACACACACACACACACACATATTACAAAAAGAGAGAAAGGGAGGGGGAAATGGAAGGAAGGAAGGAAGGAAGGAAGGAAGGAAAAAATAAACAAACAGCTTTGTTCTCAATATTATCACAGAATATTAGTTTATGTTAAATGCTAATGCTTAAAAGCCTTTTTTAATTGGTGACCCAATCATATTTTCAAATGGCTCGGCCGACCCGAGGGTCCTGTGTTCGGCCACACTGGGGGTCCCGTGCTCGGCCACACTGGGGGTCCCGTGTCCGGCCGTGCTCAGCCACACTGGGGGTCCCGTGTCCGGCCACACTGGGGGTCCCGTGTTCGGCCACACTGGGGGTCCCGTGCTTGGCCACACTGGGGGTCCCATGTCCGGCCGTGCTCAGCCACACTGGGGGTCCCGTGTCCAGCCACACTGGGGGTCCCGTGCTCGGCCACACTGGAGGTCCCGTGCTCGGCCACACTGGGGGTCCCGTGTCCGGCCACACTGGAGGTCCCGTGCTCGGCCACACTGGGGATCCCGTGCTCGGCCACACTGGGGGTCCCGTGTTCGGCCACACTGGGGGTCCCGTGCTCGGCCACACTGGGGATCCCGTGCTCGGCCACACTGGGGGATCCCGTGTCCGGCCACACTGGGGGTCCCATGTCCGGCCACACTGGGGGTCCCGTATTCGGCCACACTGGGGGTCCCGTATTCGGCCACACTGGGGGTCCCGTGTCTGGCCACACTGGGCCTACAAACATTGCTGACACTGTTGTTGCTCACATAATGTCTGGCTCCACTCTGACTGCCTTTCTCTTTCCCTCTGTCTCCGAGTCCTATCTTCACCTCTCTCCATCAGAGTCCTGACCGAGAACTACACACACACACACACACACACACACACACACACACACACAGAGGAGAGGGAGATCTTTGCTGCGCAGCTGCAGCTGGAACGGTGATGGCTGACGAATGTTAACACCGCTACTTGAGTAAGATCTTGAGTCTATCCAGGTGCTGTGACGGAGCCCTTTGACCCCTTAGTCCTGAGCAACTGTCTTCTGGCATCACTTTCCCAGAAGAAGTCTAGGAGGCCATCTTTGATACACTCATTTTGTCCTGCCCTTGGAGATGCAATTGCTCATTTCTCTGTGTCAGGATTTTCCAAGTTTTGACCAGTTATTTTAGAGGAAGGCAGCCATTCATTCAGGCACATCTTGCCAACCACCTCTGGTCCAGGGACTGGCAAAGCATAGGACTCTGCCTAGACAGTCATAGAGTTTGTCATCCTGTCCCCTGGGGCCCACCCAGGAACCTCAAGTAGCTTAGTCTGTTTTCATTTCTGAGTAATTATTTTGTAAATGATTTGTGTGTGTGTGTGTGTGAGAGAGAGAGAGGGGGGGTAAGGGTACAATATACTACATATGTGGAGGTCAGAGGACAACTTTGTGGGGTCGGTTCTCCCCTTTACATAGGCTCTGGGCATTGAACTCGGGTGACCAGGCTTACCCAGCAAGTGCGTTAACCCAACCTTCTGGGCCATCTCACTGGCCCCATTTTTTGGTAACTTACAGAGTGAAAGCTTGGGCTGGGGAGATGGTTCAGTGGGTAAGAGCACTTGCTGTGCTCTTGAAGACTGAGTTCAAATCTCTAGCACCCTTGTAAAAAGGTGGGGTGGCTGCATGTGCTGTTAACCCCAATATCCCAGTATTGGGGGAAGGGTAGAGACAGACGGATCCTAGGAGTGAATTAGCCAGAGAGTGATAGAAGAAGACACCTGATATTCTCCTCTGCCCTCCACATGTGTGGGTGCACATACCTGGGCACTCAGGTGCATTCAACACATACACACACACACACACACACACACACACATACCTGCGCACTCAGGTGCATTCAACACATACACACACACACACACAATACACACACCATACACATTCACAACACATACATACAATTGCAAAGAATAGACTTGTTCAATGCAAGGTTTTAAAGGCTGAGGTCAGGATTGGGTGGCTGTATTTGGTAAGGACAGGGTGCAACACGGTGAGACAGAGGAAACCCGCTAACTTTGCCCTTTCCTCCTCTTATAAAGCTGCAGTCCCCTTGGATTAGGGCCCCACCCATATGGCTTCATTTAACCTTGGTCACCTCCCAAAGCCCCCACCTCCAAACACCATCATTGAATTTAGAATTTTTTTTAAGTCTTTTTGTTTGTTTGCTTTTTTGACAGGGCCTCCCAAGTCCCAGCCTGTCTAGAAGTCACAATGCAGACCAGGCTTGCCTCAGTCTCACAGAGATCTGCCTGCCTCTGCCTGCCTCTGCTGCCTGAGGACTGAGATTCAAGGTGTTCACCACCACATCCAGCACTGACTTAAGAACTTTTCAATTTTATTTATTTTTACTTAATGCATATGACTATTTTTTCCTGCATGTAAATGCACCCGTGCATGCAATGCCTGCAGAAGCCAGAAAAGACTGTCCGATCCCCTGGAGTTGGAGATGGTTGTTAGCTGCCATGTGGGTACTAGGATTCAAACCCAGATCCTCTGCAAGAGCAGCCAGTGCTCTTAACCACTGAGCCATCTCTCCAGCCACTGAATTAAGAATTTCTACTCTCAATACTTTACAATAGGCATTAAATTTCAACATGAGTTTTGGTAAGAACATCCACATCATACCACCAGGTGAGGCAACCCCACCCTCAATGGTCTCAGATGGATCCTTGGGTTAGAGAGGATGGTTAGAGAGCTGAGGGTTAGAGAGCTGCCTTCCAGGCCCATATTTTTCCTCTGCAGAGCTGTGCTTGGACACCCACCAGCATTGCGAGCCAGTGATCAGCAGAGTTGCTGTCTGTTGCTTAGGTCTCTAGGATAGGAGTGACTCAGGGTGACCTTTTGTAGAAGGAATCGTCCAGGGGAGACTCTTTTGAGTCTCAAGACTTGGAGAAGCTTTGGTTCTACAGGAGTCCATCATTATGGGTCACGTGGCCCTTCTGGAGTGGGGCTGCTAGGGTGGCCAGCTTTGGAAGCCCAGTGGCCACATGCAGACCCTTGGGCAGGACAGGCTGGTGTGACTCCTGATGGTTTTTGTAACCTCCCTCCTCTTGACTTTTCCCTGATTGCCTTAGCATTTTGGTTTACGCTTTTCATTTGTTTCCCTAGAAATGGTTTCTGTCCTGAAGAATGAGGTGTGGAATTAATGTGTGAATTCATTTAAATCCACCATACTTTATGGACAGCTGTGAGGAAGAACTGAATTGCTCTACAAATGCTATTGATAATAGGATGCCCACCAGGGGAGCTGGGCGGGGAGCTGGAAACAAGGTTCCTTCTCCTAGGCTAGCCCATCTAGTGAGTCCAAAATATACGAACAAAGGTCAACACACACTTTGAAATCTCTGCAACCTCCCTTGAGACTTGGTTGAATTGACTTCAGAGAAAATCTGAGAACCGAAACTCTAGCTGAAACTCGTTTTATGGATTCACCAGCAGAAACTTGTCAGGAAGATAGCAGCCCATACGGCCTGAGGACTGGGAGGGACCGTGCTGCTGGGAAAGCTGGTGGGAAGGAGGGCAGAGGGGTGGAAGCTCAGGGAGCCCTGGAGAGGGATGGGTAGGGCCCAGCACAATGGTCCCTGGAGTGGGCCAAAAGCCGCACCTGGAAAGCTCAGCACTTCTGAAAGGAGCCGTCTTAGAAAATAAACTCATATAGCACTCGGACCATTTGTACTTTGCAACAAGGGAGGTGGCATTTTCCCCCCGGCCATGTCCTTTGAGTGCTCTTCTGGCTTTTCAAATCTCTTCCCTCAGTATGAGGCTGCCTCAAGGGGTCAAGGCATCTTTTACCTCATGCTGCTTTGTGGTTGAGGGGTCACCTGTCTTGGCATGACCTTCTTGATGTAAAATGTAAGCAGGTAGAAGCTGCCACCTCCCTTTGAAAGGGAAGCTGTGTCTCAGTGGGGAACGGTGGCATGCCAAGGGCTATGAGTCAAACCCAGAGCTGCAAGGCCTATGCCCTCAGCACAGATGGCACAGGCTGGCACAGGGGAAGATCACGTACCTGGCATCCATCTGATGGTCCCTGGAGTGGGGCTGGGGTAGGGCCTGCTGGATGGATGGGCTCATGCGGCTGTCTTGTTGGCAGTGGAATCTGGTGTGTGAGGACGACTGGAAGACGCCCCTCACCACTTCCCTCTTCTTCGTAGGCGTTCTCTGTGGCTCCTTCGTGTCTGGGCAGCTGTCAGACAGGTAAGGACACTCACTGAATGGAGAAAGTTGGGGTGCAGCTTCTAGAGTCTTGAAACAGGACCAAATTCATGGGATTTCTACACAGAAAAGGGGGGGAGCTCAAGGCACTGAGTCAATAATACAAGAAAGCTAGCTGTTGGGAGACTAGGGTAGGAGAGAAGGATTGCAAGTTCAAGGTCGGCCTGGGCTACATATCGAGACCCTGCCTAACCAAACCTTTCCCAAATGAATCTAATATACAACCCTGACCTCAGCATCCCCACTTAACAAGACCCCTGTCCATCTACCTGACTAACTAGTTAACTGTGATGCTAATCTTGGTTGTCATCTTGACACACCTGGGAAGAGGAACCTCTAGTAAGGAATTTCCTCTACCAGCTTGGTCTGTGGTCATGTCTGTAGGGCATTTTCTTAATTGCTACTTGATGTGGGAGGGCCCAGCCCTCTGTGGGCCATGCCATCCCTGGGCAGGTGGGCCTGGGTGTATAAGAAAGGTAGCTGAGCAAGCCAGGGGAGCAGGCCAGTAAGCGGCAGTTCCTGAATGCTTTAAGCTCCTGCCCTGAGCTCTTGCCTTGACTTCCTTCAATGACTGATTGTGACCTGTAAACCAAATAAACTCTTTCCTTCCCAAGTTGGTTTTAATCAGCGTTTTTATCACAGCAACCGAAAGGAAGCTAGAATACTAAATAAATTTCCCCTCATGACCAAAAGTACAGCTCACTGCTGCTGTTCAGCTGGGCAGATCCCTGTGTGGCGGGGTGGGGGTGACGGTGAGCATGTGTTCAGCACAGAATTCAAAGCAGGGTTTCTAACTAAATGTGAGGCACTTTCACACCACTGTAAAGTCAAAAGTCCTAAGATGAGCTATTGTAAGTCAGTAACTGTCATTTTAAAAACTCCAGGTGATTCCGAGTTCAGCTGAGGTTAAGACCCACAGAAGGAGGGTCTAGATTTACAGAGTTCCCATGTGGCTGACACAGGGATTATCTGCAGTCTGAACTTTACCCACTTTCCAGAAATGGTGTGGCAGCTTCTACTGGTGGCTCCTTTTTTATTTTATTTTTATTTTTAAATTCTTTTTGAGACTGGTTCTCCCTGTAGCCACAGCCATCCTGGAACTCACTATGTAGACCTGGCTGGCCTCGATCTCACAGAGATCTACCTGCTTCTGCCTCCCAAGTGCTGGGATTAAATCTACATGTGCACCACCACATGTAGATTTTTATTTCATTTTTTGAGACAAGGTCTCCTGTAGCCCATGTTGGCCTCCCTATGTAGCTGAGGATGACCTTGAACTTCTGATCCTCCTGCCTCCTCCTCTCAAGCCCTGGACTTGCAGATATTCACTACCACACCCAGTTCACCCAGTGCTGGGGCTCAAACCCAGAGCTTTATGCACTCTAAGCAAACATTCTACCAACCAAACCCCAGCCTCCTGTGGCTCCTTCTAAAGAGCAGATTTGACCACATGGCAGATGCTCAGTACTTTCCAGAGGCAGGGCTTGGAATCTCAGAAGGTTCCTCCTGGGCAGATGGGTGCAGGAGGCCTCACCAGGGAGGAAGCTGACAGGATGTGACAGGGAGAAAAATAATCTGAGCCCTGAGAAAAAACAGTTTCCAGTGATGCCAGACTCAGAGCTGCAGCATACGCTGATTGCCACCTCATGTTTTGTGTTCTGCTGTGTTGTATAGGTTTGGCAGGAAGAACATTCTCTTTGCAACCATGGCTGTGCAGACTGGATTCAGCTTCGTGCAGATTTTCTCCATCAACTGGGAGATGTTCACTGTGCTATTTGTCATCGTGGGCATGGGCCAGATCTCCAACTATGTGGTGGCCTTCATACTAGGTAGGAAGGAACTCTGAGGCACAACACTTCCCCCTCCAGCCCTTTGAAAGGTCAAGAAGGAGGGAGACACTGGGCTATGACTCCAAATTCCACCAAGGCCCCTTGAGCTAGTCACAACAGGCCAAGGGTTCATGGGAGCCAGCTGTGCTTGGCCCTGAAAGGCAGCTGAAGAACGAGAGCTCGAACTGGGACAAAGTAGCCAGGAAAGAGCTGAGAGATTCTCAGGAGCAAGGGACTTGGGACAGGGAGTCCTGGAGGAGGGACAGCCTGGGGATGCAAAGGCTTTGATCTGGGCTATGAAGGCAAAAGGCTTCTGCCTGGTGGTGGATGGGACGCAGGGTAGTTGGTGTAGCAGATACACAGGAGGGGACAGAAAGACAATTGCTACGTGGGAGGAACTCTACCCACCTGGGAAGATCTGCTCTGGCCTGAGCCCACACCCAGGGCATGTGAGCTTTGTGTGGGACGGCTGTGCTGCTCTGATAACAGTCCTACTGCTAGGGAGTAACTGCAGAAGGCCAGCCATCAGTCCCTAGATGGGGAGGCCCTGGGTCCTCTTCAGCTTTTCTGGGGAGAAAGTAAAGTGAGCTTCATGGAAGTCTGTCCAGGTCATGGAGAGAGAGCTCCCCCAGTACTCTTTCTGAGTCCCCCATATGGTGAGAGGAGGTGAGATGGGGCAACCCAGCACAATCAAGACCAAGTCCTATAACCTCTAGTGTGACCTTCAGGTTTGCCCAGAACTGTCCCAGTTTATCCCATTTGTCCCAGTGTAACTGTTAATTGTGTCCCCTTAATAGAAGTCTAACGATCTTTCTTGCATTTGGTTAGGTGATTCTCATTGCTCAAGAGCCCATGACTCATTAGCTTTGGCAATGTGTGTGCTTCCAGCCAAAGACATGCACACCCTCTGTCAGGTTGCCAAGGTAGAATTATCCAAATTCCGTTCCTTTAATTATTGGTGAAAGGCCCCTTGCCACGGGCCCAGCCTCATGTCTGAGGAGGGAGGAGGGACAGGAGGAGATGGGGAGAGCAAACTGGAGCCCCATGGTCCTGGCAGATAGCACTCTCTTCAGCAGGCCCTGGTGACGGGGTGGAGGTGGGGGCTGATCCCTGTCCTGCAAGGGTGAAGGAGAGGAGCAGGACTTTCTTTGAGATCATCTGTGGGACCAGGTATGTTGTGCATACCTGTTATTGGGAGGGAGGCAGAGGCAGGAGCATCACAAGTTTTAGGCCAGCCTAGGCTATGCAGCGTGTTTCAATAAAACAAAACGAAACTCACCATTATATAAATATATGCAATATATTATAATAATATTATATATAATAATATTATAATTATAATAATCTATATATCCTGTAGAGGGTAGAGGAATTTGTGTAGAAAGCAGAGTGATGTGAGACCCAGAGGAGGGACCTGAAGGAAACTCTGAATGGGAAACCAGAGCAGCCCCTTTAAGAAGTTGGGAACAACGTGGGGCCTGTGTCAGCCAGTCACACCCTCCGGTCTCCTATTTGTTTGTTTGTTTGTTTATATTATGTGTGTGCATGTGTTTGTATGTGCATATGCAGTAGCGTGCAGGTGTGTAGGCATGTGAAGGCCAGAGGATCAGGTGTCTTTCTCAATTCTCAATTATTTTTCTACCCTATTAAAAAAATTTAATATTGTAAATTTATTTTGTACATAAGGGGACGGTACAGGCATGCTATAGTGCATGTGTGACCAACCTGCCGCCCCTCCACCTTGAGACACAGCCTTTCACTGAACTTGGAGCTCTGGGGGTCTAAACTGGCTGACCAACAAGCCCCAGGGATCTTCCACCCCAACACTGATTACGGGCCTGTACCACAATGCCCAGCTCCTCTAGGTGGGTGCTGGGAATGGAACTCGGGTCCTCATGCTTGCCCATGAGGCATCTCCCCAGCCCTAGCCTCTGCTGCCTCAAGTTCTGCAGAACAAGATCTGCAGCTCCAGAGGCACACGTGCTTCAAAGGGACTCTTGGAGCCTCTTCCCAGAGAGTGGAGGAGTGCAGTAGTCCTGGTGGCATCCTCCACAGCCCTCCTCCTTCACGTGGCCTCCAGTGCAGGGTAGAGAAGTTAAGAGGGCCAGGCCGGGGTCAGTTGAACCTTAGGCATATCAAGGGAGGATTACGGGCAGGACCTGATTGCAGAGGGTTCGCTGTTAGCTCAGGGCCACACCTCTCATTCTAGTGGGCTTTGTCGGAAACTGCTGGCTTTGGGTCTTTGAATGACACTGCATTAAGTTCTCAGGTCTGAAGGCTTAAGAGTGTCACTGAAAATTTGATCTGTGCCTGAGCAGCTGGACTCCCCAGTCAGCAGTGCGAGGGAAGACCTCTGCAGTTCCCCGTGGTGCAGCAGCGCCCTCTGGTGTACCAGGACTAAAATAGCTAAATTACAGAGGGGTTTGTTGATTTATTTTTTTTTCCTTGAAACTGGATTTAAACCAAATAGATTTCTATTTTTGCTAAAATAAGTCAAAGCGTGGAGTCTGGGATAAGAAGTTCTATCTCTCCATTAATTTTGGTTCTTGGAACTCTAGAAAAGAATCTAGAAGCTTGGGATGGTAAACGCTCCAACTTGGGCATCTTTGCATTGATTTGGGAAGCTGATTGGCAGGGCAGTGCAGAAATGAGTCCTCTCCTGTTTTTCCAAAACTCACTAGGCTTGCCAGAGTCATAGGATGCTAGGAAAGGCAGCCAAACTCCGTGCTACCCAAAGAAACGTGAAGTAGGTGGCACGACCAGGGATGCTGCTGCCAGAGAGATCAGACAGGATGAAACGAGCTCTCAAGATCAAGGTCTCCGCCCCTAACCCACACCCCCGCCTCCCCACAGCCTCCAACTCTCTCTCAGAAATGTTGCCCTCAGCCAGCCCACAGGCTTCTGGGTGAAAGCCTGGCAGCATTCCTCTTTAACATCACACAATGAGCTGCTCCATGTTCTCTGCAGGAAAAAACACCGCCTGCCTTGCCTGACTCATTAATTCAATATTTCCCAGTACTGCTAACACCAACATGCCCCGCCATACATTTCTTTGGACATGTTTAAAGCTTGCTTCCTCTGTCCAGATGTTTCCCCTTTTGATAAGTCTACAACTGATGGCATCTTCTATAACTTCGACTACCAGGAACCGCAGACATATTTGAAATTTAGCTACATCAATTACGTAGCTTTTATCAGCCACGTTTATTTGTATTACTTTCCACTATTAATCAAACCAGGTCTCCTGCACACTAAAGCATGAGCTCTACCTCTGAACTACACCCTCAGCCCTAAAATGCTTTTAACTTGAAGCCCAAGTTTGTCCTGGTCTATTTGAACGGAGTGTCATAGCCAAATACCACAACCTGGGTTAGCTCAAAAAGAAAAATTTAGTTTTCTATGGGCAGGGAGACAAGAACTCCAAGACCAAGGCAGAAGCAGAGCTGTTCTCTTCCCTGGGTTGCACATGGCCGCCTCTGACTGCGGCCACGCACAGCTTTTCTTTCTTCTTTTACACATAGCTTTTCTTCTGTGCAGAAGCAGGAGGTGGGATCATTGCACAAGCTCTCTGCTGTTTCTTTTTTACTTATTATTTTATGAGTATACATGTTTTGCCTGAATGTATGCACACCTGACATGTGTGCCATGTCCTTGGAAGCCAGAAGAGGGCAATAAAGACAGCATGTGGGTGCTAGGAACCGGACCCGGGGCCTCTGCAAGAGCAGCCAGTGCTCTTAACCACTGAGCCATCTCTCCTGCCCTGATGTCTCTTATAGAACAGCAGTCTTACCATGTTAGGGCCCTGATCTTATGACTTCACCCACCCTTCCTTACTCCAAATGCAGACAGAGACAAATTTGTGCAACCCTGTATTGACTCTTAAAGTGCACAACACAGGAGTTTGTAGTACTTTCACGGTGTTGTACAATTGTCAACACTCCAGAATATCTTCATCACCCCCAAAAGAAACCCTCCACCTATTAAAAGCTTCCTCCTGACCCCTGTAGATTACTAACACCTCATTTAATATTTTATTATTTTTATTTTGTGTGTATGAGTGCATTGCCTGGATGTAAGTGCACCTATGTGCAATGCCCTCAGAGGTCAGAAGATGGCATAAGATCCCCTTGAACCGGAGTTACAAATGGTTGTTAGCTGCCATGTGGGTACTGGGAACCAAACCCAGGTCCTCTGCAAGGGTAGCCAGTATTCTTAACCACTGAGCCATCTCTCCAGTCCCTGAACACCTCATTTAAATGGAGATGCAAAGTGTACCACCTTTGGGACTGACTTCCTTCACCATGCTCTCAAGAGTGATCTCTAGCACAGCAACAGTCATCCTTTGAGTGTTTCTTTTTATTCATTTCTTACCAGTGGCCATCAGAGCTGTTTCCGCTTTGGGGTGATTTAGGAACGATGTGCTGTGGAGATTTGAGTTTCTGGGTGGCATACCCCCAAGAGTGGAATTCCTGGGTCATGTGGTGACTCTTTATTCAATCTTTTGAGGGACTTCCATGTGATTTTTAAGGGGATCAGATACATACATTTTTTTCAAGATTTATTTTATTTGAATTATGTATGTATGTATGTGTCTGTGTATATGCACCTGTGTGTAGGTGCCTGCACAGGGAGTTCACTATCCCTTTGGGAGGAGGACCTAGGTCGTGGTGGGTAGGAAATATTGCTGGGCATGCACAGAGACACGAAAGGTTGCTGTTGACTGGAATGATCTATGGAGGTTTCCGGAGGAGAGGGAATGCCCTGAACACAAGTTACTTTCTCATTGCTGTGACAAAATACCTACCAAAAGCAACTCAAGGGAAGAGGGACTTATTTTGACTCCATTTCAAAAGGGATGTGGTCCATCATGGCCATGAAGGATGGCAGCAGGAACATGGTGGAGTTGCATCTGCGATGAGAAAGCAGCAGTGTGAACAGAAAGTGCGGCCAGGCTCTAAAACTTCAAGGTCCACTCCCCAGAGACCCGCCTCCTCCAGTGA